AAAGACTACTTTATTTCGATATTGTGTTTCTCCTTCGGCCTAGTAAATATAATAATATAAATATTTACATTACGTTTATTAAATATTAAAATTAACATTAATCTAAACATTTGAATGTACTCATAGAAAAAATAAATATAAATGTTATTTATATGATGTAAGGCTAAATGTATCATTGAAATTATCATTAAAAGTCTTACTTTTATGAGAAGAGGATATTCAATACTGTCACCTGCCATCGAACTAGTTGCTTTAGCTTTAATTGTAATATGATTTAACTTTGTTGGAATAACCATGAAAGAAACGCTTTGGGCAGAGTTAGCTTGTATAAATAATTTTTTGGTTCGATATAGTTCTAGACCTATAATGAATAGAAACCAATTAGTTTTACTATTGAAAAGAAAATTTTTTAATCAACTATGATTTATTTTTGATGGATTTTATTGTTTACTAAATAAATACCTATCAAGTCCTCGTTCAATATAAATTTAACGAGATTGTACTTACGTTTAGTTTCATGTACTTCGTTTGATATCTCAGCAAATTCAAAGTCTCCATTATTTTCCAGTACTACTTCGGTTGAGAGATCTCTATTCAAGTAATTAAATATAACAATCGGAATAGCTACTATTTCTCCTCTGATAACAGAATAGGGCAGATTCATTGATATGAAGAAAGGCTTAAAAACTTTCAACTAAAAAAATTAATAATAATTAAAAATTAATTACTCAATGCCATTATACTTACAAAACGCATTAATTTTGTTTTATGATCTTTATACTATTTTAATGGCAATAATATCGCTTATATATATATATTCTTTTTAATAGTAAAATTTATAATTTAAATGTACAATTTTCTATTTAATGTTGATAAAATTTAATATAATATTTATTTAACCTTTATCGTTTTAAAGCTACAACAGGACTTTAAATTTATCTTAAAGTGTTTGAAAAGTGGTAGAAAAGTATCATCAGAAAGATCATTAGAAAAAAGACTAATTTGTCCAACATTACTTTTCAATGTTATTGCGTATGATTAAAAGCGTTTAAGTTTAGGGTACAATATGTAAATCGATAACTAATCGATTTTTACTCATACGTAGATTTTCATCGAAAGTGATGAAATAAAAACAATATTGTGTAGTTTTTTATACGAATATTCAAAATTTAACATCTACAAATTTTAAATTCTAGATGATGTGTAACCATATTTTCTATTTGTTATGGCCAACTATGGGTTTCTTAAAGTTTCGTATAAATATTAATTTATTGAAATATATGTTTGTTTGTTATCTATTATTCATTAAAATACGTTTGATATTTCTTTATACATTTTTATTCGTCTATATTCTAATAAGATATTTTTTCGAATTATATTTTAAAATATACTTTAAAGATTAGTACACAATTTTATTTAATTTTGGAGGGATTGGAAAAACAATAACAAATTCGTAAGATTAGTTAGTTTCTTTTTAAGATTAGTTAGCTTCTTTTTGTTATGTTTCAATTCCAAATAATTACTTTATATATATATAAGTTATTGAGATGTCTTAATATACTATATACTCAGTAATTTAATAATTTAATAATATAACCGAGTGTAGTCAGTAATAATTATATGATTAATTTGTAAACATTTATTTTGTGTGTGTGTGTATGCCCGCGCGCGCAAATGCTATGCTTATCAAAACTTTGTAATTTTGATTGGGGAACATTCAATAATAATGTGTTACAAAAAAGGAATGGATTAAAAGAATAATTTGTTACATACAAATATTTTATCTTTTTCTTATCAATTTAACTGAAATTAATATAAATTTTAAATAGTTCATAGTGTTATTATAATTCTACATTATTAGAATTTATACTGAAATTTATTTGAATTTGTAAAGTTTTTGTTTATCAATAATTTCATGAAAATAAGTCATTTTTCTGTAGCATCGAACTTATATGTTGCATTAATTTTTTAAATAATAAATATAGATTCTCATTGTTTTAACTATCATTATGAGTTTAATATTTAATGTAAATTTTTTTATTAAGTAAAAATACCTTCCTTGGGCTTTCGATAAGACCCAATCCGTAAATGGGATCAACTGAAAAACCAGTTAATATCCACGATGTGATAGTATCCGGTAGAGTTCTTCGAATTACAGTTTTTCCTTCATATCTAGATAAATTGATAAATATATGATGATATTACCATAAACCACTGTCTTTAAATAAGATATTAAATACAAAGATACGAAAGGACTATTCACAAAGAATAAAAAGATATAGTACATAAGAAATTCATTGACTAATTACAAAATAATTTGTATTAAAGGGTATCATAATTCTAAATAATATAAGACAAAATTCTGATAACAAAAAGAAGAAGTAATATCAACTATGTAATAAAAATGAAACTACAAAAATTTATTTATTTTTAATACTAAGGATGTGTCAAATAATTACGTATAATTAGATCGGTAGTATTAAATACCAATTGTTTTGCTTTATCTTTAGAAATTTTGATGTATTTACAATATATGCATAATAAATGGTAAATCGTAGTATATGAAATAGATGTATATAAGCACCGATTTTCTGTGTATGAAAATATAATATAAAAAACAAAAAATAAATATTCAATAAATAAAGAAGACAATATTTAACAAAAATCCATAAATTTTACTTTAACATAGCGTTATTCATTTGAGAATCATTTCATTCATTCATTATTTTAATGTAAAGTCGCTAAGATGATGGAAAATCACTATAATGATCGCTTTATAATAAATCATTGCCGTGTCATTGATTTGTGACGTATGGATGGTATCTGATGATTTAAAATTAAGAGTTTTCTAAGATTTGAAAATATAATGGTCGTTGGACTTTTACTTAAATTATAGAATACATCCTAAAATAAGTTACGAACATATTGTTCTCAATATGAATAGCAATATCTGAGCTACTTTGCCAGCATTAACTCGGAAAAAAATTTACGAAATTCAGTATCGATACAAGAGGCGCGATCGATCATTTTCTTAATCCGAGCACGAAATATAAAGAACAGTTAAAGAAAGTAGTTTGTAAAATTATGAATTGTCATGTTAAAACTCGTCGTTCTCGAGCGCCCGCATACGTAGGAACTACTGAGGGCGTACGCGCGACTAAGGGCGGGAGAGTGATAGCGTGGGTTGACAAAAGAAGAGAATATGTGTAAATACCCTGAAGACATGTTTGCAAAAAGCCAAGTGTCTGAGATGTCATGCATAAGGAAAACACGAGGCCTCCAAGGGAGGAGTGGCACATAAGAGAAGGCGTAGCGACCAGCCCAGGATGGTCTCGTTGCAAACCTATGCTTTACGGGCGGGCCAATGTCCGGCTTCAGGGTCGAGATTGAGAGCCCCGGGGTCGGGCCCTTAACCCGATCGCCGTTCTCGTCCGGGTGCACTGCAACGACCAACTCCGTTCCTTACAATCTCGGGTGCGTATGGCTCGACTCCCTTGCCAAAGGTGGGCGAACGGCTTGGGATACGCGGACGTGATCCGACCACGAAAGTATCGATTGCGTGATACAATATGCATTTATAATTGATGGTTCCACGAACAAATTAATTTTTGTTTTAAATGTAGGAACTCGAAGGAAGGGAATACTCTAAAATTATGATAATTTCGATAAGAACCAATACAATGAGTCTTCGGATATTTTAGTCATACTTATCGAGGATCGTACGTTCGTCCACCTTTAGATTATCATAATTGTCCATTGTCCATAAAAATGAAAAAACTCGAATTAAGCTTCTTTTTTGGATAATTAATTACAAGCAGTTGCCTTCATAATGTTAATGTTGTAGTATGGTCTTCTGTACAAAATAATACTCAATTCGAGCTTATTTTATACAGGAAATCATTGCCGAATCAATTTCATTACTTTAATAGTAAAATATTATTCGTTAAATAACGTAAGAATATTTATTTAATATTATTAATATTCGTTATATAGCTATTGCAAGCGAAACAAATCATATTCACTCAATGTTTGCAAACGCCGTTTAATTGTAACCAACCAGTACCTCCATTACCATTTACTCTACAAATACATAACCTTAACCAAAAGCCCATCAACATATACACGAAAGCCCCGATAATAAGTATGAAATAATGAGAATGTAAGGCGAAAAATGTCCAGAATAAAATGATACAAGGGAAATTTAGTTTGTCAGAATTACCGAGTATCGACCGCCTCCCAAATCCAAGTTTCGGGAAAATTCTTCCGAACTTTGAGTTGTCCTGAAGAGAACGTGGTTGGACTTGCAGTTGCAGGGGCGGAAAACATCACTGCTTCCAAACTAGCTCGATAGTATACTATGCATACACAAGCCTCGTTAGTTATTTGACGAGAAATTATTTAATTTAAGAATAAATTCCAATCACTAACACTATTGTTTTCCGTGGAACAATATTAATGTGCATCTGTATGTATTTATAATTTACACTCATAATTTTTATTAACGGCTTGTAATAACATTCAAAGTAATTTACTTAAACCTGTCAGACATTTTAAAGAGACTTGTGCAATTAGCATAAAAAATTGTTAACAATAATTTATAATTATTAGTGAGGTATTGTTTGAAGTTTTCCATTTTTATTAAGCTTTGAAGTTATCGTCATAAATCAGTGTTTAAAGATAATTCCTCTAGATTTTGTCGAATTTTTCGTCTGACCTAATATTATTAGTTAAGTAAAGAAAGCACATCGAATATCAATCATTTATCAAAAGATAATGTTTCTAATACGTAGAATTTTATTAATCGAATAATTTCGCCAGTCATTAGAAAATCTATAATTTCAAAGGAATATAAAAGATCCAATAGTCGACATCGACCCAACCACCAATATATAAACTTTACTTTTTCAGTTTCAGTATTTACAATGTTATAATTATATTTCATGACGATATTGTTTAATTGGTTATTTATTAAATTGGCTACATTATGTATTAAACTGGTATTTAAACGATCAATGCAATATTATTAATTAAAGAAATCGTTGTTTCAGCATTATAAAATTTGTAATACATTAAATAGGAATATCCTTTTATAATCCGTTAGCAAGATTCACTTTTTTAATTTTAATTATTTAATTATCTTTTAGAAAGAAATGCAGATTATAGAAATTAATTGATGAATTTAGCATGAATGAGTTCGATGAATTTTGCTGCATTAGTAATCTAATAATTATAAATGCATAAGATTGTTTACAAGCGTTTGAATTTACATACTTAGTTGTGGATTTTCGTGCAAATATCCGTTTGTCAGGATAACAACTCCAGTTTTCTGTTAAAAATAATTAATTTTTTTTTAATTTAATTGAAAATAATTATCATTTGCGAAGGTAATATATTATAAAACTTAATGATTAATACAGTCATTCTTTGCAGCATACTTACTCTAAAAATCTCTTCAGTGCTTGCTGAAC